TCAATACCTAATTCCAGACCGGAGACACTATTCATAGGCCAGAAATAATCTTGTCACTTTGTACGTCTGAAAATCTCCCTTTCAGGGTAAAGATTCATCACACCCCACAGTAATATGTCATGTGAGTAAAGCATTCATTTGCCAGGCTTGTAGCTCTAGTTCTTAGAAGTAACAGCACATTTTTAAAAGGGGGATGTGGGAGGTGTGGGAAGAATTTATTCAAGTTTGAAGTTCAAGGTCTTTCAGAAAAGCTCCACCAAAGCTTTTCTGAGCTGACAATTTATCTGGGCAGGAGTTAGACTGTGACCTGGAGTTTTGCCAAGGAAGGGAAGCATAACAAGTCAGGTAAGGGCGACCACTCACAGGACAGGAGTAGCTGTTTCTGAAGAAATTGTTCTGCGTCTCTCCTCGTTTCCACGTTCTCATTTCTGCTCATGGCCTTGGTCTGGCTGAGTTGTTCCAGACTCACAGAGCAGGGGATTGGTCTCCCTCGCTTTCTTGTGGTGTAGCTGCTATATCAGAACCACATTCAAAGCTGCTTCTAACAGCCTGTTACTCATATATCGACTAAAAGGAATGCAGAGGAAAATAAACTTTCAAGAAGAATCTGAGAAAAAAAGTAATAATTTTAAAAGTATTTTTGTACTTAAAAACTCTTTGCAACTCTTTCCTGTATAACATTAGGCAATGTCGACTTATTTTAGCACTAGACATTTATATTAAAATTTCAGACGAAGAACGTTAGAAAAGCCACATTAAAATTTGATAACAGGCATTCCCAGTTTATAAATCAATAGGATCAGGAATCGGAGTTTGTCCGCAGTAAGCACCTGTTCATAGCCTGGATCCTTCACTACACAGACATGGAGACAGCAGGGCCTGCGTGTGCCTGCAAGTGTAGGACGCCTGCCTCCTGGCCTTCAGCAATTCTTTCCTAATCCCTTCCTGCGCTAGTTCTCTTTAAGTTGCCTCCATACACTCTCCTGCCCCGACGGCTGCTTTACCTTGAGGAAGACGTACGGATCCTCTGTGGGAGCCATGTGTTCAGTGTCAGCCAAAGGAAAATGAGCTCCTCAACTGTGCTTTGGCTGCTCTGAGCTATTCTTTCTAGGATTAAAGGGAAAAATATCTCTCTTTTTATGTGTGCATCATCTCTCTTGTATAGAAATAAGTGTGGTTTGCTGATGAGCTATTGCAATTTCCCTTGAGCTTTTGAAAGAAAAAAGGAAAATAAACCGCAAATCCCACTTCCTTGGAAGTCAGTCCTTTTATTCCCTTTATATCCAATGACTTTCCTATATGGGTTTATGAGGAGGGTTCGCATCACTACACTTTCAGAAAGCGCTCCCCTCCGGAGCAGGAGGAAACGGGGAGCCCCAGGAGTCCGTCCATGTGGCAGAGGATTTACACAGTCCATCCCACCCGGCTCTGCTCATGTCTGGGGAGCACACTAGCTTGCGAAACAGCCATCTAGGGTGAAGAGCACACCCTGCCGTCACAGAATAGGGTGCAGAGAACAGGAACCCGCAGGAAGCAAACCACACTTTGCCTGTGTCGTGTTCCAAAGGCCTGAATTACACTGCAAGGGTGTCCTCTGCTTCCATCAACCTATCTCGGGCCTGGAGGAATAGGCTCTTCTCTGATCCTTGGACTTACAAGATACCTAGGTAGTCTCGCCCACGGGACAGTCTAACGAGGGTGTTAGCTGAAATTCAGGAGCTCTGCAGACCTCTCCACCCAGGGAGACATTGTCTTTATCTCCACTCAGCGGAAAAGCTCCGTGGTCATCCCAGTTTGCCATTCGGGAAAAAGTGATTTCAATTATGGCAGAAAAATATTTCTACCCTGATGTGCTGATAAAATAGCAATTTCTAGATTTTATGGCTAATCCCCCAATGCCAGTGTCCTAGAACATCCAGACCACAGGTTTATCCTTGTCCACACATGCAGACGTCTTACTCATGCACGGCAATTGCATGTTCTTTGCCATTGTGCTGATGTCGCTTTGCCCAGGGGTTAGGAATATTCAACTCTGTACTAATTTTCTTTGTACAATGCAAATGTTTGAATGTCATGCCTGCTCATTCTAACACTTCCTGTGTCTTTCCTATCACATCCAATGTCACGGGGGTGGGAGAAGACAAGTGTCAACCGCTTCGTATCTAAGAGTTCTCCCAAGTCCACATCGAAACAAATGGCAGCAGATGTTTGGGCCTTGTGGGGGTGTGTGATGACTCGCTGAAGCATAGGCTCGGAGCCGTCACGTCCTGACAATTACTGCACACTTTGTCCAGAATAGACCCTCCCCAGCAAACATGCGGCCTGGCCTGCCTAAGGAAGTATCTGCCTAAGTGCAGGGAGTGGCAACGTCTGCCTTCCCAGCCCTCCCAGCCTTGCGCTGAGCCTGTTCACCCAGCAAGGGGAATACCGTGGGCCGCACCCCTCACACGCCGCAGCTGTGGCGTCGGCATCTCTCTGCCACGCATGGATTGCCCGAAAATAGTTCTGCTGATGCCAAAGTGTCTTCCTATGTGCACACACCCAGCAATGGTCATTTAAAATTTGGTTCTGTCCTTCCCTAAGGCCATCTGCCCAAATAAAGAGCGTCCAATCCTGTTTGTGGTGTGGATAAAGCAGCCACAACACCCTGAGCCCAGGCAGCACCTGTTCCTGACAGCTGGCAGAGCGCCGCGTGCTGGCCCAGGGCAGGCGGGGGAGACTCACGATGAGATGGACAGTAATGTTTCATCTCATTCAACTGGACATCCCGCCCTGCTCTCAGGAAACAAATGGTCACACACAAACAACACAGAATTGTGCCATGAGGGAAATTAAAAGTCACATTTAAAGGAAGGCTCCTCATAATCATCTAGTTTAGTGGCTTTGAGAATGGGCTGTCAGAATGCCTTGCACTTCTCAGAATTGCCAGGGGATTTTTCGTGAAGTCCTGAGCAAGGAGGCCTTCAGCCTCTCACCATCTGCAGCACAAGATTTGATGAAAAAAGAAAATCCACTGGTCTAGGCATGAGTATATGAGTACATATCAAATTCTTTTTCTTTCTATAAAGTTCCCAGCCAAATATAATTTTTTGGATATATTATTTTTTGCACAGATTATAAAATGGAAAAATGACCAACAATTTTTTTGAAGGTATCAAACACACACACACACACACACACACACACACACACATACCCCCCACAATTCTCTACTTGGACTAAACTCAGGATCAAAGCATTTCTGAGTTTGAAACGATCATGCTGCCCATAATGCATTAGTACTAAACTACTGGTAGCACATGTTCCCTTTATTGATTAACTGAGATTTTTAAAAGAAAAGCAAGTAATGAGAAGAAATAAATATTTACACATTTTAACAGAGTATTGTTATTTCTGGGAAGCCCACTGAAAAATATGCACCCCATTTAGAACTTTGAATGAGACAAGGGTAGAATGTGATTTGGGGGAGAAAAAATATTTGGCAAAGATGACGCTCATTTTTAAGGTATATAAAGGGGTAGTCTTATGGAATTACGAATTAAAACAGAGAGATAATTTATGAGACCTAAGTGAGAGAAGCCAGATACAAAAAGCCACATACTGAGTGATTCCGTTTATATGAAATACCCAGAACAGACAAACCCATAGAGACAAAACGTAGATGAATGGTTTCTTAGAACTAGCAAAGAGGAGAGGAGAGAAAAGAATGGGGTTTCTTTGTGGGGTGATGAAAATATTGTGAAATCAGAGACTAGTGATATTTGTACAACTCTGTGAATGTCATAAAAATACCACACTGAATCGTACACTTCAAAACGGCAAGTCGTATTGTATATGAATTATATCTCAATAAAAATGTTTATTAAAAATGATGAGCTCTAATGGGTAAATCCAGTGAAAGAAAAAAGTTGAAATAAAAGATAAAAGAAAGGCAGAATATATTAAAAAGGGCACTTCTTCTCAGAGTGTTTTTTTTATTGAGCTCTTTAAATAGAGGGTTCATATCCGATTATTCTTTTTATTCCCTCTGCAGATTTAAGCACCATATTACGCAAACAGTTGTATTATCTGACCATTGATTAAATGATAGTGAGAAGCATCAGGAACTCTCTTTGCAATGATTATGAACACAATAAAGCTATCCATTCTTTTCCTCTCTTTCAACTGTCATGACAATGTCACCTAGAAACACTCTGGTCTGATGTTACAATATAGCGTAGTCACGTACACTGACTTAGTCACACTGAAATGTGTCTACTTCTCTAGAATTGTTATCTTATACATAATAGCCTGTGCTTATGTTTGCAAGTTAATGGTCTGGCTTTAACTTCCTAATGAAATGAAAAAGCCCTAAAATTCACAAGACTCACCTATTCAATTACTTTTCTGTTCGTACTAAAATCATTTTATCAGGAATCTGACTAGTTGGAAAGCTGACTAAAATAAATGCAAGTTTTATGCTGAAAAGAATGTGTTTAAATAATGTGCATATACCACAATTAAGAAAATTGAATGAACGAGGTAGAAAAAAGATTTTCGTTCCTATGATAAATAAACCACCAGAATATATCAAAAATATCTTCGCAGAGCTATTTTTTTAAGAGCATGCAAAAAATTCGCCTATATCCTGATTGGTTACAGAGACACGTTACAGTCCCTATTTTACAGTCAGAAAATTAATAGAGTAAGATAGATTAGTAGGCTCTTGCACACTGAGAACGAGTCAATGGCAGGGCTTTCCCCTCTAAGCCTCAGTGTTCTCATCTGTGTAATGGGGCTGCAATGGGCAGAGACTGTCACATGGTTAAGTCTGTCAGCACATGGAAAATAGAAAGTCCCTGGAAAGTGTCTGACATACCGTGAGCACTCAAGAATGATTGTATTCGAATATCATTGTGTTACTATTACTAAAAGACTGACACCTGAATCTAGAAATGAAAAACAGGGCGAAATGAAGGAAAAACCACAGTTGGAAATCACACCCTTGGCGCTGTACATACCTGCAGCGATATATGAGCCGCCCCCAGCTTTGTAGAGGAAATGGCTGGCAAAGGGGGCTGCGCAGATGATCAAAAAGCTCGCGGTGACCACAGCGACGACCCCCAGAAGCATCAGCACGGCCCAGAAACCACGGTAAACTGGAGGCCACGGGAGAAAAGGAAAAAAGGAAAAAAACAAAGCGCTTAGGTTGTGGACACAGCAGGCTGTCACACAGTGAGTTTCTTTCATTCATTTTTCTAAGTTTAGTCATAGCACCGCTAGATGGAATCCTAGGTATGGATCTTGAATTGTCTTAAACAAGGGATCTCACCAGATGACCTTGGATTCAGTGATGCTCATGTCGGTGACCTTCAGTCAACTCCACCTGCTCAATATTTGCACCACACACCTGATCATTTTTCTGACCTGATTTTCCGCTGTAGAAGTGAGAGCACCTCAGGTTCTAGGCAGAGTTCACTCATGTCAGTACCCAGTTGGATAACATATAGGTGTTTTATGCCAAATTTACAAAGGCATGAAAAGGTGTTCACATTATTTACAAACACTGTCTTATAGCTCCTGCTAAGATATATTCGTACCACAGTGATCCCTGAGAAGCTGATAATAATCACCCCAAACCCCTAACAACAACAACAATAACAACAACATTTCTATTTAGATCGTGGCTCTGTTAGAAAACAGCCTAAGGCAATACAAAATGGCAAGCAAAACTATTTTTAAAAGTTTGCACAGCTATGTTTTCCAAGCAAATCTGATTTTAAATCAGATTTATTTAAGGCATACTACTTTCTCTTAATATTTTTAGTTAGAATGGTTCAAAATGAGAAGTGCAGGAGTCTCTAAGTCAAGGACGAGTGAGGCTGAATTAATGGCTGCAGCTGGCGAGAAATGGATCGTGTGTTTAGTGATATGTATTAATAGTAACCAAATAAAAAGGAATTCTGATGATCACTTTTGAGTTGGATAATTATGGATCTATTAAACAAATCCATCATTTCCAAGAGGCTGAAACACTAAAATAAAGTCTTGTTAGTATAAATGAGGGAAAGCTCAGTGAAACATATTAGTCAAATTAGTATATTTTAAGAAAATATAGAAACTTTATAAGAAGGCAAAGAATGATTTTTCTCAACAAGCCTGCCCCCAAAAAGAAGAAATATATCAATCAGCTGGACTCTTAGAGAAAAGACGATAGGAAGATGGCGATTTGAGAAGAGGAGTCACCACAGTTAAAGGGGACAGGAAGGCTAGAATTTTTGTGTGGACAAGGAAGTCCTGAAGACAGGACTAAAAGGTAGGTGTTCCCCCCATGGCATGGCTTCCAGGTGTGCTGTGTTAGGAAGTGCTCTGCAGCTGTGCTCATGCCTGCAGGCAACAGGGCGCTGAAAGGGTACTGATGTCGACTTTTCAGTGTGGGAATTCAGGGTGGCAGACTGTAGGCCAAATATTTGTTCTCCTTGTCCTACCACAGTGTATTAGATAATTGGTGAGTCCTACATTTTACATTTTCATTCACTTCATTTACAAAAAGGCTAAGGTTGTCTGTCACAGGACAGGTTCTGTGTTAAGTGCTAGGGGTGTAGCCATTAGTGAGAGGCAGTGCAGGAAATGAGAAGCCCCCCGGTCCATTCTCCCCGATCACGGCTAAAACTGGGTAAGTATGACAGACAACTATGTGAGCACTGTGAAAAGTAAATAGTAGCAAGTGAAGTGAGGCTGGAAGTCAAATCTTAAAGAAAGACCAACTTGGCTGCTGAGATTATCTGGGTTTTCTTCTTTTATTCTCCTCATGGATTTGGCCCGAAGGTACGCCAAATTGGGAACTGTATAAAAGGTGCAAATAGCAGGAAAACCCTAGTGCAGTCCCTTGGTCTGGTTAGAGATCTAGGAAAAGAGGCCCCTGCAAGCCAGAGTGGGGAGCAGGGGAAAATCTCCATGTTTATTTTCTCTTTTTATTCCCCTAGTCCTGTCTCTAGGTCAGTGTCAGACACAGATCTGCACTGCTACCCCAGTGGAGGTATGGGCTCTTACAGTCCCAAAAGATGACCCAACCCTCTGGACAGAGGAGCCAGAAAAAGGGACCCTCATAGTGCAAAGAGTGGGAGAGGAATCAGGATTATTTATTTTTGTCTTTTCTCTTGCTGCTTTGCTGTGTAAGACAACTGCAGGGAACTGTGCCACAGCACAGGAGGCCAAAACTCTCAGAGAATCCAAACTTTCTGGCCAGAGAAACTGGGAAAAGGAGCCGAAGAAGCCAGAGGGCGAGAAGGAATCCCACAGAGGAGAGAGCTGGAGAAGAGACACTAAAATTCTGTGTTTGAACCTACACAAATACCAAGCTTATCCCTAAGTTGCACATGCACAGAAAATGGCCAAAGAAGTATAGCAAAGGCGTGCAGTGAATTACAGTATAAAAACCACCCAGGTACCAGAGCAAGCCCTGAGTGGTGCATGCCCCAAGGCACATGACACAAAGAGCATGGCAGACACTTTGAAAAGTGAACTGACATTGAAACTGCCACCACAGAAGAAAAGGACAGAAATGAGCAAGTTGATTGCCTCTTAAAACAACAGCAAATCAGTATTCTCCAGAGAATTTTAACAGTATGCAAGCTTGGCAACATAATATTCAAATATCCAGGATACAAGCAGAAATGACTTGATACACCAGCAACCATGAAAATCTGACCAGTTTTCAAAGGGACAGGCAATCAGCAGACGCCAACCCAAAGACAGTTCAGATGTGTCAGTTATGAGACAGACTTGAAAGCAGCTCTCAACACCATGTTCCAGGAACTGCAGTGAATACTCTTGAAATGAATAGAAAGAGAGAAATTTTCAGGCATGAAAGAGAGTCTATTTAAAAAAGGACTAAATTGAATTTTTAGAATTGGAAAATATAATATCCAAAATTTCAAAATCTGTGAGATGTTTTCAATAACAGAATAGAGATGAGAGAGGGAAGAGTAAGTGAACTTGAAGGTAGAGCAATAGAAATTATCCAATTGAAAAACAGAAAAAAAAAAGATTAAAAACAAAACGAATGGAGTTTCAGAGACTTGCGGGACAATATCAAAAGTTCTCACATTTGTATCATTGGAATCTCTAAAGCAGAGGCAAAAGATACTAGTGCAGAAAAAAATTCATAAAAATAATGCCTCAAAACTTCCAAGGTGTGGTAAAAGACAAATTTACAGATACAAGAAGCTCAGCAAACTCCAAAGAGAATAAACTCAAAGAAATCAGCCCAGACACATATAATAAAATTACTGAAAACCATAGAGAAAGAAAAAGTCTTGAAAACAGAGAAAGAAAATAATGACTTATTACATATAGAGAAATAATCTCAATAACTGCAAATCTCCCATCGGGAATAATGGAGCCCAAAAGACAGTGGGAACAACATTTTTAAGGTGCTGAAAGAAAAGACTACCAACCTAAAATTCTGCATCAAGTGAATATATGTTAGAGAAATTAAGGTAAAATAAAGCCATCTGCGAAGGAGGAAAACAAAGACTTTGTCATCAGCAGACCTGTTCTAGAAGAAATGCTAAAGGACGTTCTTCAGAAACGAAGGGAGACAAACAATGAACATCTGTGTAAATATAGTAAATTATTTTTCTCCTCTTAATTTCATTAAAATATATTTGACTGTTGAAATTAAAAAAATGCTGTCAGCATAATACAGTAGAAAAATCTAGGTTTTTGGAATCAGAGTGACCTGCGCATTTATCACTTTCACTGTGTAATCTTGGACTAGTCACTGAAGCTTCCTGAACCTCTGTCTCTTCTTCTGTAAAATACGGCTGTTTTATCCAGCCTTGAGAGCTACTGGAAGAATTATTTATAATGTATGTGAAGTGTGTGGCATATGATGAAAGACCAATGAATAGCATTTATTTTGTGGTTGCTTTTATTGCTGTTATTGCTAAAATTGCATTATCAATGCATGGCAGGTAGTATTGTGTTCAACAATAGGAATGTGAATTATTTCCCTCAGAGAGCCTTGTAGACTGTTTTTTATGTACCACTGAAGGTGGGAAGTTCCTTTAAATTATAGCTTACAGTGCAGTACCAAAGTTGCATTTGGACAATGTGGACTGTGAACACAGAAAGTTCCACGACGTTCTCATACTGTCTCCCATGGGAAATTTCCCTGCCCGTTAGTTAACCTTCTATGATGGCACTGGCCTTTTCTATCATGTGACTCTACTCCTAAATGCTTAAAACACAAATAAATAGGAGCAGACCCCTGACACAAAGATAGCCAGTGTAGGGTGACCTCTGACTGGTGCCTTCTGACCTACACTTTGACAAGATGAGTTGACCTAATCCGCGTGCTCCCTTGAGAGCTGGGAAGCTGAAGAGTGAGGTGGTAGCAGCACAGGGGAAGCTCAGAGGGAGCTCTGGTGGCCGGTGTGGAAGCTCAGGGGTAAGTCAGAGCCACTGCGAGCCAAGAGCTCAGGAATTACGGATCAGGCCACACAGAGGACAGAGGAAGCAGGACAAGCCTCTGTACAGCGAGAAGCAGAGGGGTGTAAGAAAGAGAGTACACAGTGGTGAAGGGGAGGAGGAAAGAGAGAGCAAGGCAGGAAGGGGAATAAACGCTCCCCAGAGCTGCTGGCATTCCTGACAATGGCTAGCTCCCGTGCTTTCACTTGCTCTCACAAAATAGCCTAGCTTTTGATTTGGAAGCCCCTGCAAAAAGTAGGAGCCACAGATTGGCATTTAAAGGGACGGAGGCCTGTCTGCTGGAGAGTTCCGACCACATAGACACAGCCTCCAAGTGAGGTTCGGTAGCGCCCTCACCACGTGCCTTATTTTTCTGTCTATGCTCCTAACATTCTAAAGCGCATCACTTCAAGCATAGTACAGAATTTCCTGGAACTTCCTGTTTTCTTATCTGATTATATTACATAGTTTTTATATGTACTACACTTTTATTCCAGAATTAAAATGTTCACTCGTAATAAAGACTTGCCTGGTGGAATTGGGTGTGGTTTGTGCACTGCCTAAAGTAAAACTGAGCCAATCAGAGAATCATCAACATAAAGTGAATCGAGTGCATGAATCTGGGGAGTCAAACATGATACGAGGCCTCCTCTGCTTACTAACCTGTGTGACTGTGACAAGCCTCAGTTTTCTAATATGGAAAGTGATATCCTCGACACAGGTTTATAGTGAAGATTAATTGAGATAATACATGAAAAGTAGCTGCATACAGTAAGCACTCAAT